AGGTAGGCCTACAAGTAGACGGTGGCACACCCGACTAGTTGTACCTGCAAATTTTTAAGAGGTACAATTGGACGCAGGTACACCTAGACGTGTATGCCACCGTCAAGTAGTGTCACCTAGCTTGCACGGATGCGACTAGTTGTTCCTACGACTAGTGGTCCCTCCTACGTCTAGTTGTACCTACTTCTAGTTGTACCCACGTCTAGTTGTACCTACGACTAGTTGTATCTACGTGTATTTGGTGTCCTTATAGTCTAGTTGTGTCTATCCTTCAATTTTTTATCCTATTTAATTGATTAGGTAACTTACTGCACGAGTACTTTTTAATGATACCCTTAATTAAATTAGTAACTGCAGTGTTACAGACTTTCAGTTATATACATAAAACATTGATATATATATATATATTATTAAATATACAAAAAATCTACAGGTGCCACATATGCGAAGCCTACTATAAAGGGACGAACATAATTCATTAATTGGAAATTTGGCATAGTCTTGTAACATAGTTAACTACCACTATTACTAGGTGGCGTTCGCAGGGGCATCCACAAAATTGAGCGGAGTCATTATGGTTTCATATATATTGTTATTGACCTTCACGATCGAGCTTCATAATTATTTTAACCTACAATTTTAAGTGACGAGAACATTTGTGTAAAGATAAATATTGGTGTAATTATATTAGATACACGTTGTTTCGTAATACAGGGGAGTAAAAAAACACAGAGATGTAATTTAAGGAATTTTCGGGTACCTGCATTTACATTTTAATATCAAACCCTCAGGGTTAGTTATCAAGTTATTCTAAAACAGGGTGGTACAGTTCTAGCTAGTTATAAACTTGAAATCAACCCTTTACAGTTTTGAATTCTACCTTTTTGGCTACTAATAACTTTATAAGAGGGTTTTATGTAATGGCGAGTATATAAGTGAAACCACGACATGTATTATCGTTACAAAAGTTATATTAACATTAACATATGCATTGATTCAAGCGATAAACCATAACCCATGTGTTACACGTTAATAATTTGTATAATCAATTGGAAGGTGATCGAAGACGAAGATTAAGTCGTCGAGTTTTGGCTAAAATTTGTGTGCTTCCTAGTCGTCCTTTTTGATCCTGACAAGATCGAACTATTTGCTACGTAGCGGCATTTCAAACACATCATGGAATCCACAATTATTCAAGGAAACCAGCGTATGGATAATATGTAAATTTTGTTTAATTGTATGGTTTTCGTTCAAACAAATTTGATCACCTTTTTTTTATAAAAGCTTATATTAAAAATTCAGTTTTTCTCAAGTAAGCCATCAGATAAAACTATCAACTAAGTCACTATTACTGTATTTACAAAGCTGTATGTATTGCATTAATTAAAACGCGTGGATCTGTTCTTGATTTTTGATTGAGTAATACAGTATCTTGAACATAACTAAATCAAACGATCAATAAATAGATCAAATTAAAGCCTATCATTTTCTGATTATTTTGTGTCTAAAACATATAAAAAACATAAACAATACTGAAGCTATCCAATACTCTAATACGAGCAATGTTTGCTTGTATGTATACGTATGCTTGCTTGCTTGTACCAAGATCTCGAAAACGGCTCCGACGATTTTCTTCAAATGTTGTAAATAGTTTATTTTTGGCCTAAATTTGGCCGGTTTTCTGTAGATGTCGTGCTTTGTTTACAATTTGTTTCTTGTTATTTCAGTAATTTAAAACCTCGTTTAACCAAATAATACTATTTAATCATAAACGATAACTCGTTCACTATATTACCGTACAATATTACTATATTACTATCGTTGGCTATATAACTAAACAGTCAGACACAAATAATGAGAAACTAACCCTAAAATAATAGAAACAAATTGAAAACAAAACACGACATCTACAGAAAACCAGACAGAACTAACAATAAAAGTGGCTTCAGCTGTTCCATAAGGATAGTAAGGTATCTGAAATCCTAAAATGCTATGGGAAGGGAGGGAAACAGAGGTCCGCGACGTAGGAAGTGGTGAAGGAAGTTGTAAAGGTGAGCAGTCCGGTGTGTGGGAACTGTTTAAGAGGATTAAATTAAGGTATCTGCAATCTTAAAATTCAATGGGAAGGGAGGGAAACAGGTCCGCGACGTAGGAAGAGGTGAATGAAGTAGTAAAGGCGAGCAGTGTTGAGTCTGGGAACTGGAAACCAATTGTAACAGTTAGATTTATGTATCTGAAATTGAAATACTAAAATGCTATGAGAAGGGATGGAAAAATGTCCAAGACATAGGAAATGGTGAAAGAAGTATTAAATGCTTTTTAGCAGTGTGGAGTGAGGGAAATGTTTGTGGCAATTAGATTAATGTATTTAAAATACTAAAATGCAATGGAAAGAGATGACAACATGTCCACGACGTAGGAAGTAGTAAAGTTTAGCATCGCAGAGTGTGGGAACCGTTTGTGGCAGTTAGATTAATGTATCTGTAATACTTAAATGCTATGAGAAGGGAAGGAAATAGGTCCATGACGTAGGAAATGGTGAAGGAAGTAGTAAAGGAGGAATCACAGAGTGGGGGAATTATTTTCCCCAAGCAAAGCTCGGTCCCCATGTACTTGGATTTATAATCATAGAAAACCCTTATAAAATATAATTTAATTAAATTAAATAAAATTAAATAAACTAAATTAAAAAAATTTAAATTAAATTATTAAATTAAATTAAATGTACGATTCAGTCTAGTGTCGTCATTTGATTATATTATTCGATCCATCCCGTTTCTGTTCTAATATCCGTGAAATATCAGCTATTTCTTGATCTACTTCATTTAAAAGTCCAGCTGATCCTATGGATTTGTTTATGTGTCAAATACTGCTTCCATAAGGAATACCTTGAAATTTTGAGGGCCCGTGGGGCGGATTCCTAACAGATTTGTTTGATGACATATATATGTTGGCACTCACCGATATGGTCTTTATCACCATGCAAAATTTTAAAACGATTGCTTCAGTCGTTTAGGAGGAGTTTGCGTATTACGAAATGCATAAGAGTCGACGTATAAGAGCTTCGCTCGCTCCGCTCAATAATTATCAATTCATTTTCTATGGAGAAAAACGTCCAATTATTTCTAGGGAGCTAACAAAAGATATTATTTTTACCTTTGCCGAAAATAGTTTGGTGTATTTCCCACCTTGAACAATGGGAACCATATATGTTCTTATTAATATGTTCTAATATGTTTTAATATGTTCTTATTAAAATTTAATTGTATGTATGTAAATTGTTGACATCTTATACCATTAAAACAAGATATTAAAACGTAACAGGGTTTTTTATTTCACGATTCTGAATCAACCACTTGACGGATTTTCATCATTTTTGTGTTGAAAGAAAGGTAATTTTGAGAACTAGGGAATGTCGAGGCCATAATTTTAGTTTAGGGTTCCAGTTTTTTTTTATAAAGTTTTAATTTAAGCGATTTTCCCATATAGGGAATAAGCTATTACCGTAGTACTCATGGTAAGACCTGGACCCGGGACCGATTTTTTTTCGTTTTGAGGTCCCTAGGGGCCAAAAACACCATCCGTTCAAATACACACATATATATATATATATATATATGTGTGTGTGTGTGTGTGTCCGTTAGCGCGATAACTCAAGCAAAACTGATCCGATTTTGATGACCATTTCGCGAACCAGCATGATCGGACCATGGGAACGGAGGTTTATGGGGGCTTTTATGGGGTAAAAATGGGTTTTGCCCATTTTTGACACAAAAAACATAAAATTTTGCAATTTCTTTCCAAACTATTTTGTAGAGCTTAAAAAAACAAATAATTTAGTATAATGAAGCGTTATAATGCGCCTAATAGTTACGGAGAAAATTCCAAAAAATTGTAAATTAAAAATTCCCATGTTATTCTTATGGAAAATAAGTAAACTGTTGTAGTTTGCTTATTTAACATATTTTGCCCGAATTTGGAAAATGTTTTTATTTCTTACTAACTATTAACATTTTACATAAAAAAACACTTTTACCCTCCCTGTTGCAGCAAACCTAAGTATGTGTTAAACTGATTCTACTTAAATAGGGAATAAAAGTGATATTTTTAAGGAGACATTTTAGTGTAAATCCACTCAGGCAAATGGAAATTCGCTTAGTCTGCAGGTTTGCTGCGGCGGGGATATTTAAAAAGTCTAGCAGCCGACGCTAACATTCTTAAACTAGCTTTTGGTTTAATACAATTCGCTTAACTTAACAGCTGTAAACATTCAGTGTATTCGACACAAATTCACCATTTGGATGAAAATTAAATAACCTACGTAGGTCGACTTATTTATACTATGTGTAATGCTATAATCATTGATACGTTCATTTTTTCGGTAAGAGGGCAAGAGATTATTTAAATATACATAGAAAAAATCCTAGATGTTCTAATTTATTTTTTTGGGTAATCTTTAAAATCTTTTAGTTTGTTTTAGTGCAATATAAATTGTTTTATCTAACAGCTGGTTGAATATAAAAATATTCTATAGAACTATGAGGTTAGTTTCTTTACTCTGTGATGTGTAATTGATTATAGTAAATAAGTAATTTGATTATATAACCATTGCTGTATACAAATCGAAGCTCACCAGTCTTCAAAGGAATGCTTTTAAAAATATTTTTACTACCATACTTTTATGGAAAGGTTAGGAAATAACAATGATCACATGTTTTGATTCATCTTGGCAGCTTTTTCTTTACAATACATTTTGAACTGCTTAAACTGTTGATATGCTTGAAGGAATAGACATATGACATAACTACGCACTGTATAATACAGTTTTAAAGGACTATACTCAATTCCCGTACGTAGGACGGGTTAAGAGCTCGTTCATATTATAGCTCATCTATATCTATAAGAGAGGAACTATGTATATATGTAAATACGTTATGGACTCCGAAACCGCTTGACAGATTGTAATGAAACTTTCAGGCATTATTAAGCATCTTTCAAGGATGGTTTGTGTGAAGTTTGGCTTGGCACAGATCCGTCAAAAGGGCCCTGCCCCAGAGGGGTTTAAGTGGGCCAATGTAAGACTTTTTGAACTACAATGTTTACAAATAAATATGACAGCTGTTACCAGTTACCAGGCAACTGTTGAGTGAAAATTTAAAAACGTACGTTTTCAGGAAAAGCACTTTACAATTTTTCCCCCCTTTTTTTTCAAAACTTTTATTATTTTTTTATTTCATTAACATTTGAAGTTTTTTAAAATGTCCATGGTAACGCAATATCTTTGGTAGTTTTTTTTTTAAAAAGAGCATCTTTAGTGGAAAAACACAAAATCCTGTCACGACCATAACTGACGTTTAAATGAATATAAAAAAATAGTTAATATTATTTTTTACAACTATGTTTTGCTATAAACTAATTTACATTTATGGCCATTATACAATAAAAAGGTCACTGAGCTTTTGGTATATTTGGTCTTTGTAGAAAAAAATAAAACAACTCAAAAAATTGAAAAAAAGCCAATAGAATGTTTTTAAGTTTGTATAACTCCGAAAAAACTTACCTGAGACCCGAAAAATCGTTATGTTTGTATAGAGGTGTGCTTCGTTTGTGTATAAAACATTGAAATATGACGATATTTTAATTTTTGAAATTTTTATGATAGAAATCATAAACGTGATGGTCAGGGACAAGCGGTACGGTCGTGAATCGTCTGGAATAATCTAAATCTTTCTAAACAATCCTTCAATTATACTGTTAGTTATAATACAAATATGTGTTTCAATTGAACTAAACTGTTCAATTTACAATTATATTAAAGTTATTGTCACGACCAAACACACTACAATCCATAAGGCTGGATTGGTCGTGAAAAAACCCGCGATGGTCGTGAAATTACGTGTTATTTGGCTCTGTTCTGGCGGTAGCCCTGCACCTCATGTTCAAGGATACAAAGTGGACTTCTAGGTTAATCTAGCAATAGAAATATCTTATAAACAAAAATTAACACCATGTCTACTTCATCAAATGACTACGTACGGTCATGGACACACCAAAATTACAAAAAACACAATCTTTCCTTTATTAATCTTGTAATTCCTCCTTTCAACTCGAAACGACCGGCACTACAATCCTGACATACACCTAGTCTCTAAAACCAACTGACTCCATCGACGCCAGGCTTGCCACTGTCGTGATCCAAAGTTGAAAATTTTTCCCAAATGGTCGTGATACCAAATCGAGGGACAGACTTATTTTGTCGTGGTAGTCAGTTTGCAATGACAATAAAATTATAATATGCTCCTTTTTTGTAAGTTTAATAACCATTGATGACATAAAAATATGACTTTATATATTTCGGCATGAGTAATTAGTCTAAAAACAGCGTGAAAGTTGGAAAATGTACCCTAGGGACACGTCATGGTCGTGAATATCGAGACTTTAAAAAAAAACCTAGAACCTATTTAAAACCAAATAAATGTGTGTAACATGTTGCCCCAGTCCCAAAAAATATTAAAACACATAATAATAAACTACAAATCCAGTATCTACAAAGTAAAAGGCCAGGGACATGATAAGGTACGTTTTTAAATTTTCACTCTGTTTTGTAGGTTTGAATAATCACAACATGCTTTGTTAGTTATGATTTGAAATAGTGCCACAATGTTTCCACAGAGTGCAGCACAGAAAACTATTTTACTTTTGGATAAGTACAAATATATTAAACCCCAATCACAGCACACCTGTGCACTCAACAACATTTTCTCCAATGTTAAATATGTATACATAAAAACCTTTATAAAAGTATAATCTATATCTATAAAAGAGGAACTATGTATGTGTGTGTGTGTGCATATATATATGTATATACGTTATGGACTCCGAAACCGCTCGACAGATTGTAATGAAACTTTCAGGCATTATTAAGCATCTTTCAAGGATGGTTCCAGTGAAGTTTGGTGCAGATCTGTCAAAAGGGCTCTGCCCCAGAGGGTTTTAAGTGGGCCAATGTCAGACTTTTTGATCTACAATGTTTACAAATAAATATAATTTAAAAGCAGATGTTTACTTTCACCAACTGTTTTGTAGGTTTGAATAATTAATTACAACATTCTGTATTTAGCATTAGTCATGATTTGAAATAGTGCCACAGTGTTTCTACAGAGTGCAGCACAGAAAACTATTTTACTTTTGAATAACTCCAAATGTATTAAACCCCAATCGGCACACCTGTGCACTTAACAACGTTTTAATTCTCCAATGTTAAATATTAAAACATAAAAACCTTTATCAAAGTATTATAAACAATAAAAGGGATGGCTTTTTAAAATTTATGACCGAGCTAATTTGCAACCAAAAGGTGAGTGAGCGTAGCGAACGAACATCAACCTGGAGGCGAGTTAGCGTAGCGAACGAGCTAACCTGAAAACAAGTGAGCGCAAAGAACGAGCTCCAACCTAAAGGTGAGTGAGCGTAGCGAACGAACTTCAACCGGGACGTAATTGAGCCATGCGAATACTGAAGTTAAACGGGGCAAGGCCCGTGGGTACAGCTAGTAAACAATAAAAGGGATGGAAAATAATAGCTGTTAAGCGCAGCAACGCGTGCCGGGTAACTGCTAGTTTTCTATATTTTTTTCTTCATTCGATTTTTAAAAACTATATTTAAACTAAATTTTATACTGAGTTAGGTAGGTCGGTGTACGCTGGCTATACGGTCTGCAACTAAACCAATATTAGTTTTATTAAGAACTAATAAGCGTGCACAAAAAAGTCATCTGGGTTATTTTTTCATCGGGTTTTTAATATTGAGGTTTCATTACGTTTGCGTTGAAGGGAATTAAGTTTTTTTTTTGTGAAAAGTCAATAGTTAAGTATGAGATAAACAAACTTGTTAAAGTATATGCATGAACAAGCAAACTAAGCCAGTTTACGTATTCCCCATAAGAATAACATAAACATTTCTAATTTGCAGTTTTTGTAATCATCTCCTAATACCCTAAAAACACTTCAATATACTCAATTAGTTTTTGTAAACTCCAAAAGTAACCCCTTAAACTTGTGGCAAATTGAAGGGAAGATACAACTAATAGCCGTAGGTACAACTAGCTGTAGGTACAACTGGTCGTAGGTACAACTAGTCTTATGTACAACTAGTCGTAGGTACAACTAGTCGTAGGTACAACTAGTCGTATGTACAACTAGTTGTGGGTACAACTAGACGTGGATACAACTAGACGTAGGTACAACTAGTAGTTTAAAAACGGCTGTAGCTCGAAAACGGTAAGGTACAACTAGTCGCAGGTACAACTAGACGTAGGTACAACTAGTCGCAGGTACAACTAGTCGTAGATACAACTAATCGTAGGTACAACTAGTCTTAGGTACAACTAGACGCAGACGTGAGATACAAGTAGACAGTGGCGTACCTGACAAGTTGTACCTGTAAGTTTTAAGTTACCCGTTTGGGCAACTTAGTAGTTACAAGGCTCATGAAATCTGAAGGTTGCTGGTGATAAGCAAAATCGAATCTTTTCATTTGGCTATCAATTATCAATGTTAGTCCAAGACCAGTAGTTAATGGTCTGTTTTCCTATTAAAGCTACATTAAAATTTGTTTAACATTTTAAAATCTTTGCAGGCGGGACAAGCTGGGGAGCAACCTGACAGGCTGGAACAATGGTTAACAATCATGCAGACCGCTTACGCCATTCTAAACTCAGAGGAGGACAGACTCAGAGCTGAGCGGGACACAGCCAGAGCTGAGCGGGACAGAGCCAGAGCTGAGCTGGAGGCCACATCTCAGGAATTGACCCAGGTAACACGTAAACTTATGGCAAGCCTCGTCAAAGGCTTGTCTGGAAAGGCCTTTTTATATCAACTTGTGTCAAACTGGTGGCACGCTTCTGAATAAGGCTTACGGGAAAAGCTTGGGGCTAATTCGTAGAAGGCGTATCGCGACAAGCAACGTAGTTGTAATTTTCATCCATCAGTAGTGGCAATATAGCGGTTTAACGTCACTTGGAGCGTTTTTCCCATAAGAACAACATGGTGATCATTTTTTGGCCACCTATTCCAAAAATCCTGATCTTTGTCTAAATATCCCTATATAATTGTCAAACTTTATTTCTTACTTATTCCCCATACATATATTCGATATCAAGCAAAAAAAGCTATTTCTTATATTTATTGACCCTTACAGGTGTAAATGTAAAGTAGTGGCGAACCCACAAAGAGACGCCACTTGGGGCGTTTTTCCCATAAGAACAACATGGTGATCATTTTTTGGCCACCTATTCCAAAAATCCTGATCTTTGTCTAAATATCCCTATATAATTGTCAAACTTTATTTCTTACTTATTCCCCATACATATATTCGATATCAAGCAAAAAAAGCTATTTCTTATATTTATTGACCCTTACAGGTGTAAATGTAAAGTAGTGGCGAACCCACAAAGAGACGCCACTTGGGGCGTTTTTCCCCATAAGAATAATATGGTGAGCTTTTTTGACCACTTTTTTAAAAATCCAGCTCTCGGCCTATACAAGCCTATATAAATGTTCAATACCATTGTACAACTCCATTACTATTTCAAATCCACATCCATTCACATGTATATTCTCAAAATCGAGCGAGGTTTCACTCGCCTACCTCGGTTGTATTTACGTTTACCAAATTTCGCCTCGTCTATTTCAACAATCTCACCTGGCCCGCCTAGTCTTTCAGAATTTGTTACACAATCGTCAATGTACACTTCCCTTATAAACGAATACCAATCTACAACAATAAAAAGGTTTAAATTACCTGTATCCGTCAAGTGATCCTGGTTTGTAGTTAATTGACTACAGCCGTTTCATGTTGTAAAAACACATCTTCAGGTCAAACGTATATACATTGATTTAATCCATGGAATGGTCGTCAAGGTTTAAAGTTCACAAAAATGACACATACACGTACACGAAAACATTAAAACATAAATTGGCCAACACAAAAATATGAAAAACGCGTGATAGGCATCGGACACGTACGGCGCCGCTAGAAGGTAGGTCATGAACATCTAATCAAGATTAAATCTAGCGGCGCCGTACGTGTCCGATGCCTATCACGCGTTTTTCATATTTTTGTGTTGGCCAATTTATGTTTTAATGTTTTCGTGTACGTGTATGTGTCATTTTTGTGAACTTTAAACCTTGACGACCATTCCATGGATTAAATCAATGTATATACGTTTGACCTGAAGATGTGTTTTTACAACATGAAACGGCTGTAGTCAATTAACTACAAACCAGGATCACTTGACGGATACAGGTAATTTAAACCTTTTTATTGTAAAAATCAGTGATCCAGAGGCTATACCATAAAAATGAAATCTACAACAGTTTTACTTGACAGATTGAGATTTGTTTCCAGGAATTTTTGCCGGGGTGGGTCAAAAAAAAGATAATGATTGACTAATCGCCAAAGCGTACGAATTTGTAATCTGGATTTGCCGAAAAAGTGTCTACTCTGCAAGATCGCACCCACTCACACCTTTTAGCTTTCTTCTTGTTAATTGAAACTCTGTTCCAGCATCTGAAAAACCACTTATCGTTCAATTTTATGTTTGAATTACACCTTGGACATTTCGTTTCGTTATTTACAACCCCGTGCTTAGTTAAAAACTTTTAATTTCATTATCATCGAACACAACCGTTTCATAAAAATTTAGGTCACACGCATTGCAAATATCAGCCCCCCTACTAATTTCTAAATCGGCAACAATAATTAAACTTACTTGATAATTAATAAGTTGAAATTGCAGATGTTATTAATCTGGATCTATTTTCTGGGCGCATTTTAGCGTAATAATCCATTGGTTGGTAAGCAAACTACATTACAGCAATTCAGTGACAGTTGACAGTATCAATTTGGCATTGGTGATGCGGTCGTGTTATTATATAGGGTAAAAAATCCTTGCACTTTACGAGAATAAATTACATTTATTGATTGATGATAAATGTTGATTTTAATAATAGTTCATGTAAGTTATTGTTTTTGTGTAATTGTATTTTCGGAACGTCTTAGAAGTCCGTTTGCTTTTAGAAATTGAATCATTTAAAAATGTTATTCCGATTTTCACGTCGTGTGTTGTTTTGATAATTTTGCATTGAATGGTAAACTACGAACAGCTGTTTCCATTCCACAAACCTTCCTCCCCTTTAAGTCTTAGTCGCCACTAGAACTTGGACTCGTCCAAACCACAAATATAATATGTGAATAACTCAAAATAACTGAAGCTTGACATTTATTATATAACTGTACGGCTCTCCGACTGATTGCATTTTTGGGTTCAGCGTTCAAAATACTGTAAGTAGACATATAAAAATTACATCAAATCCCAGTGTAAATACGGTAAATAATTACCCATTAGTTAAGTTAGGGTCCCGTAATGAGTTAATTTTCCGTACTTAGCCAACTTAACTCACGTGTTAATTAGCACCTCGACGGTAGGCTGCTCTACTAAGTCAATCAAAAGACTAGGCTAAACTTAGGCTTACCCTCCCTGGGTTCTTACGGTTCCGCATAGAACTGTCTGCAATATGTTTTTGGATGAGTAAGGATAAAAGTTAGGCCTACTTATTATCAAAATGTATCCAATTCTATATTAACATTGCAATGGTTATTATGGTTATTATAAAATTGGTTATTATAAACCACATGATAAATAATTTAACAATAATAAATAACACAAATGCACTAGTCTATCTGAATTGCAGATAGTTGTTGCTGAATTTACTTATGTTATTGAATTCACAATCGGTCTAATAGTTAACCTAAGCAAAGGACCTGAATTTTCAACAAATTGGATTCATCAACATTGATTAATTAATTATTTTTTTTATTTATTTCTACGGCAAACAGCCACTATAACTTATCATTGTGCAACTTTGATTTAAGTTTACCCAACCATAGAATTTACAGAAGGCTAGGACTTTAGTGTTAGCCTAACTTAAAAAACATTGAGTGACCGTTAAGTTAAGGGTTAAAATTGAATAGAAATGTGTAAGATAATATAAAATACTAATAAATGTTGCAAGTAAAGAATGTGTTTATTATTATTCAACAAAAGTCATCATCACACACAACAACGATCTAAATTATAAAACATATGTTAAATGCAAAGGCAGATGAATGACACTACATCTCCCCTTCCTCATTATACTTTACTCATGTCTTATTGGTGGTCTGATGGTTCTGCTTGATCTTCTTATTCGGCCATCATTGTGGTTTGGCTGCACCATCCTTCCACGGTAGACATCATCAGAATCATCATTCTCTTTTCTTGGTAGGGGAATGAGATGTCATCTGTTTCGTCTTACATCATTCCCATTACTCAATGATACTATGTAGGATCGAGGTAGATTGGTTGTAGTTCTTATCGTTCCTTTCGCACTTATATCCTTAACCCAGACCCTCTCTCCTACTGCTAAAGGTGGAAGTTCTTTGACGCCTCTTCTATTGTCAAAGTTTTTCTTGACTCGGTCTCTTATTTTCTTGTCACAGTTTTGAAAGGATTCTATTTCATCTTTTCCAACCACTTGAAAGTCGTTGAGAGAAGGTAAAGTTGTTCTTAGTTTTCTACCATACAGCAGCTCTGCAGGTGATAACCCCGATTCCAATTTGGTGGTCCTGTAAGCTAATAGACCAAGATTGGGATCCGGACACTTTAGTAGAATCCTCTTGGCTATAGATACAGCGTTTTCAGCTTCTCCATTCGATTGAGGAAAGTGTGGACTACTAGTTACACCTTTAACTCCGTACTCTTTTGCAAATTGTTTAAACTCGTCTGAAGTAAACTGAGTATCTCCATCTGTACGAATCTCTAGAGGGATCCCGTGTCGTGCAAAGACGTTTTTCATCCTTCCAATAATTGATGCTGAAGTCAAAGTATTGAGTTCGATGAGCTCTAAAAAGCGTGAGAAATAATCCTGTATTACCAAATACAATTTTTTGTTACATTTCAAAATATCTGCACATAAATGGATCCAAGGCTCTTGAGGAAGCTGCGTAGACATCAGAGGCTCCTTTCGCTGTAGTCTATGCTCAATACAGGTTGGATAATTTTCCACTGCAGTACTAATTTCTGTTGAGCAGCCTGGCCACCAAACAGATTCTTGAGCACTCCACCGACATTTCACTATACCTAAATGTCCCTCATGTAATCTTTGTAGTGTATTTTGAATTAATAAAATCTTCAAGACATTAAAAAATTATTTATTAACTTCCAAATTATAAATCTTGATACACTGATTTCCTTTTTGTTCAAAAAGTTAACTTTTATTAATATCATGCTCTGCTCAAATTTGAGTTTTAAAATTTACTTTTCTTGACACAACTTAAGTTATTTCTTGAATTTGAATTATTATAAATTAGTTTCATGAGCCCTAAAAAAAAATACAATGACATTAGAATTCTAGAATTAACAATGAAATAACCTGAAATTGAGTAGATAAAACATACATAAATTAAAAAATTAAAACGATTAAAATCAAACAAACTTACCCAATTTGGGGTACCAGAAGCTAACATGTAAATTGAACTGAACTAAACCCGACTGAGGAAGAACCTTGCACCACGTGCTCTCTTATATACTTCCCCCTCCCCCAATGACGTCTCATCTACTTTACATGAATTATTCTGAACTGACTTGTATCCTTTAAATTATTTGAGCAGAGTTGTAAGACTATTTTCTTTAATAATATCACAAAATTCGAATTTTATTTCAATAATTCATAAACAAAAATATAAACCTAATAAAAATGCTACAAAATTCCCCT